CACACACACACACACACACACACACACACACACACACACACACACACGCACCCACACAAACACACACACACAAACAGATTTCCCAAGCTCACTGGCAGTTCCACAGCTGGGAGCAATGAAGGGCCCATTGGAGGGATCCAGAGAACACCCCACAATTGCCTGACAGAAAATCCCAAATTGTTAATAGGGGACCACACTCATTTTCCCATTTTTAAAGGAAGTTTTTTTTTTTTCGCACCACTTCTTTCCACCTCAGAGTGCCTTGTATTTCAAATTCCTGGAAGACAGAGTTAGTGTGTAGGTCTGTCTTTGATAGAATATTTGGATTAAACATATTTTCAATGGACAATAAATAAATTCAGTGTTTCTTACAAGTAGAGATAATAAAAATATATAATTGAGGGTTATTAAAATATTGATTTTTTTCATGAACCAGTGAATAACAGGATAAAAACCAAGACTTGTTTGAAAACAAGACTTCGTAGACTATTGCTGGTGCAATTTGTTGATGATTTGTGTGTGTGAGAGAGTCTGAGTCATACTTGATGCAGCCATCGCAGTCGATGTTCCCCATGTTTTCTTTGATGGTTCTCTCCGAAACAAAGGCTGGATACTCTGTGTCACACGGCACCTGCATGGTTGGACCTGCCGTCTGAGCTGAAGCAAGGACGGATGAGAAACAMAACAAATTCAGGAGAACAAAACGAAAACAGGAAGGACTCAAATAAATGAAGACAAAGACAGGCAAAAGAAAATGAATGATAAATATGGAACAGTAGAGGGGAGGGGAGGAACAAACCAAAGTCAAAGTTTGTGGAAAAGTTTCAGAACACCTATCCATGTATGAGTCAAATGATGCATATAAAAAATCAATAAAATAGATTGCAGGCTCAACACACCACATTCATGCAAAAACCAGAGGAATTAGAAAAAACTGTATTTCTGAACCAGCATTGCTTTTAAGTACTGATTGAAATAAAATCCCAGTAAATTCAGACCATTTTTACAGCATTTCTTGTGCACTACTGCCCTCCAGAGGGCTGAAACTACCCTACAGGACAGTTGGTTTCACATTGTTTCCAGGCCAAACTCATGTACTTAATAAATGTAGGCAGACAGTTTCATTACAGAGAAATGACACAGATATTTCTGAAGATTGTGAATTTTTTGTGTGATTGGAAAGAAGTGGTTTGATTACAGTGAGTCAGCAGAACAACCAGTGGCATTGTTGTGTGTGTGTGTGTGTGTGTGTGCGTGCGTGCGTGCGTGCATGCGTGCGCGCGTCAGATACAAACTGTAGACATGTATGAATGTCTGGGATTAGTTCAAGCTGAGAAGCTGTGTAGATTTGGTTACGGGCTGCTAAATTGGGGTATTTCAGCTGTGTCACAGGCCCTATGTCTTTGTTGTAAAAAGATATAGAAAGTACTGCTAAGACCTGAGGCTAGCCAGCTGTGAAATTGTCTCAAGTGCTTGGCGAGCATCGATGCCCAGCTTCACTTCATTCAGGATTAAAGTGCGCAAGGAAAGCATTTGATGGACTTTCATTTTTTGTGGTTCCACCTCCTTCCCCCTCGCGTTCAACAAATATTTTATTAGTTTTGGCCACAATTAATACGACAATGTGATGCTGCTCAGTGAGGCTTTCATTCCAGACAGGCAAAAAAATATTCAACACTTCATAAAGCATGAGGAATCACAGAGCTCACCGCCTGGCAGTGATAATATGAGAATGTGCATTCATGAAGGCAAGTGAGGGAAAAAAATGAGGAAGAAAGTCACAAAACCAATGGAAAAGAGAAAACAAAGACACGCTGTGTTAAAAGACACCCCCCCCGCAAACACACATCTATTTAAAACAGATTGTATCCTCCACTACACAGTGGGYTGTACAAGTATTCAACCTCTTAGTATTTTTTTTTTTGTTTTGTTGCCTTGCAGCTCGGAATTTGTAAAATACTTTGAAGAAAGTTGTTTAAATTGCTCTCAAATAAAAGTGAGTTTGCATTTGCATGACTGGACAACGTTTGTGAATGAATGCACGTTTCCARTCAGTATCATCTTTGGTCTAAGTGTTCATCGCTAAGAAAACAACTGTTCATTGAGCCCTTCTAACTGGTAATATAGACCCTTGCATCAGCTATTCTCAGCATAACAGGGATTTCTAAAACAATATTATTGTGGGAACATTTAATTAACAAGAAGCAGAAATATGTGATTCAAAGAATAAAGGCACTTTGTGGAAAGATCATCTGAGTTTTGTTTATTGCAATAAACAAGAACACAGAAGTTAACACAGAGCCATCAGGCTGTCTGTCGAAATTTGCACTAACCCCTGCTGCCCCGAGGCAGTTAGAAGGCCTCCTATAAATGCTGTTTAACAAACACCATTATGTCATCTTAATAAAGCAAGATTTCATTCTTAGGGAATGCTGGGTCAAAGGAAAACACAGATAAATACAAGAGTAGCTGCTGTTAGCGAATCTTGCTCTGGCCATAATCATTTTATCCGCTAATAAACGGGGTGTCATATAAAACTGGGTCATTAAAGAATGACATGAATTATTGGTTTAGAACAAAAATATTTTTTTTTCATTACATTGTAGTTTGTACACCAACAAATGTGTTAGAAAGGTGGGGGTGCGAACAGGATGGGTTTGTTTTAGCAGCATCTTAGAAGGCAGCTCGAGAACATGCAGCTTCACACACAGTTCTTACCTTTTGAAGTGAGGTCAGAGTTCCACCAGCTGTACAAGTTGAATTCAACCAGGAATCTAAATATGGAGACAAAGTCAGTCATTACAAATAAATGCCTATATAATAATAACGTGTCAGTTTCAGATGCTTTTTGTTAGGACTGCAACTTTTCTGCARTTTAAAAAAAGAAAATTACAATTTTACATAAATAGCTACCACAAAGCCTTTCATGTTTTATACAGAGAAATCCTGCTCAGATATATAACAATGACATACCCCATTTTCTGTGGCATTCTATGCAGTTTATATCTCTTTCATAATGTTTCAGTTGATTGTTTTTCTGAGTTTGCCTATAGAAAGAAAACTGCTTTGCAAACATGTTGAAATTTATAATTATTCATTTTGTAATTGCCCTGTTCACATGATATCAAGCTGAAAGAAAAATACCATGTTCTCTTAGTAGCACCTTAAATGAAACATATTTATATTAAGTACACCTGAAAGGAACAAAACTCATTAAATTAATTTACTTTTGCTYGCAGCATTTTATAGCAGCAACAAGAAATTGATAAAATATAAAAGGAAACATGGTGTACAAACTACGTGCCTACCTGACTGTTTAGTTTGTTTAAATCTTAAATTAGCTCAAAGGTCCAATTAAGGATTGGAGATGAATTTTTCATACAAAAAATAAAAATAAAAAAATAAATAACATACATACAATTTTATCATAACTGCACAGTTATTGTTTCTATCTAAAAATAACTCTGTTCCAATAAATAATTTAAATATTATATAACACTTAATATAACATGTGTACTGACAACTCCCATGATGCATGGTGGCAGTGACAGACCACCCAGGGGGACTAAACCACAACCACACTGTGGCATCTCAGGAATACYCCGTGCTGCAGGAAACATCAGGCAGCCATTACTGCTTCTGCTCACAGAGGCTCACATCAATGTACATGTGAAGGCATTCATAAACAAACACACTGTTGATGCACAGCTTGCTCACAAACATACAGTTAATCTCAGAGCCGGGAGGCMTAAGTAAAAACCCTGAAACCACTTGGACACTCTGAGCCTTTACCGTTACTGCATAAACAGACAACAGACAGTCTCTCATATGCAGAACTCTTACATGACAAGCTCGGTCAGAATCCACTTTACCGCTGCAAAAAAAGCAAAGTAAGGCTAAAAGATAAAAAAAGAAAGAAAAATATTGATTAGACAGTCATATCTGACTTTGAACTATATAGAATGAAAATATGTAGGTTGGAAAGTGGGTGTGTGGTGGGGAGAAGTGCTCACATCCAGCAGAGTGTGCCCACTGTCACTGCTCTCTGAATAGACCCGACACAGAGCCTGGTAGTCATAAAGAGTGACCCTGAGGAGATAAAGATAGAAGAGATGAAGCAGAGAACATCTGAAATGGAAAGAGGTCTGCGGCCTTATGACGATATTTCCCCMAAAAAGGACATATACGTCTCAATTCACACATTCTCTCTGCAGTAACATGCCCGAGGGGCCTTTTAAACTGCTTTGTGGGAGCAGGAAGAGAAGATCCCACCTCTGCAATAACTGCCTCTTCACCTGCCATTAATAAATTGGATGGATGTGGAAAGAATAGAAAGAGGACGGGAAGTGAAAGTTAGGAGCTTCCTCAGAGGTTCAGACAGATGTGTGTGTTTGTAGATAACTTGTGATGTTAGAGGAACACCAGAGGATTTAGGGATTAATGGATCCAGAGGCATTGTCTGGATTTGTACTGGTCACTCAATAGCCTTTAATGGTTTGATTTACCTGATATGGCTTGTAKGGGAATGTTGCCTCAGTCACAGTGTCAATAGCCAGCATAACAATACAAAACAATCCATGCTAATTTAAGCCACAAGAAGTTTACTRAAACCAAACTCAGCAGGGTCGGCCTGGAAAAAAGGCAGTATAGGCAAAGGGCAGTGTCCGTGTGCTCCACAAATGAGGGATGAAAAAAAAATGGTGTTTTATCAGAGTATAGTTGATATAGACTGTAGAGTAATCCCTGTTACTCAGGTCTATGAAGGTAATTTGCTCTGTGGGTTTCTCAGCCTGCTTTGTTACATGAGGTGTTATGGTGCAGAGAATATTTTGATGCAGTTAAAACTAACTACTGGTGATTAGTGTGTAGAAAACAAAATAAAAATAATGGAAGTTTCAGTTACAACCTCAAATAAGATCCAGGTTAAAGTCTGTTTTTCAGTGTTCTGCTTTCATAAAATACTGATTTTATGTTGTTTAATTCATCCCAAGAATTTAGTAAAATGCTCTTCAAAAGAATTCCGAGGGCAGTATACCCCCAGACCTCCCTAGAACTGCTTCACTCCTCAGCTGTTTTTTAACATGAACAGGTGTTCCTTGCTGCTGTCAGCAGATGTTATATGATAGACTTATGGTATTCTGTTTCAAATTAATCACAGTATATTGTTAACTATTGTACCTGAACAACCTTGTTTCTAAAGATTAAAAATAATATACAAAACAAAACTATTTAATTTGTTTAATTTGGTATGTGAATGTATGTAAATTGGCAGTGAGATTTATAAAATTGCACAAGGGGGTGCTACCTGGAATCTGGCCTAAGGCACGGAATTGGCTAGGGCYGGCCCTGCTTAAATCAGCTGATCAGCAAATCCAAGCTGGCAGTTTTAAAATGTGGATATGTTTTCTTGGTTATTTGAAGATATTCACTCATTTGAAATTGAATGTCTGCTACACGTTGCCAGTGTTGCTGCTTACTTGCAGAGATTTGTCCAGATTCTCTGAAAYTCATGATTACAGTATATTATTGAATAAAAAATGAATCCTGAAATTCCTTTCAATTGCATGTTGAGAAATGTTGTTCTTGATCTGTATTTGCTTGTTGTTGACAAAGTGGTGAACCTCCCCCCATCCTTGCTTGTGARTGACTGAGCCTTTCAGGGATGCTCCCTTTGTACCCAATCATGATGCTCACCTGTTACCAATTCACCTGTTCACCAAAGGCAATTGCTCTAAGACTGCAAGGGAAGCTCAGCTTCCCCTAAAATTAAAAAAGTGATCAAATATATACTGTTGTGTGTACATGCCATTGACTAAATATGCACTACAACGCAWGCTGCTCAACGAAAGTTGAGCAACTTTTGTTCAGAATCAGCTGRTAACGACACAGCTTTCCTCTCACTCATTCCCGCAGCTTCACAGTACTTTAAACAGTGGACGCTCAGCTTCCACAGAGYTCATTAGCGAAGCAAAGAGTGCAGCGAAACGAGGCGAGTCATTGGACAAATGCTGGGCTTTGTCCTGCCTGTCAGACGCTGATGGGGGTCTATGGGGCTGTGGGCTGGCCTCGGCTGACCCGGACGCTCAGCTTCTGCATGATGATTGGATGATCTGTCGGAGGCTGAATCCCTTATTGATTGACAGCAAAAAGAGCAATTTAGCGATCTTTTGGTGTAAACATCTGTGGGAGCAGTTTTTAATTTTCATTCTTTTCTGAGTTGAACCGGAGACTTTCCTAATCCTCTTAATGGCATTTTCTTTGTTAAAAACGACTAGCAAGAAATCAAGCTTCCATTTCTGGTGTTTCTTTATATACAGTGTGTATATA